CCTCATCTACTGCGTCGCTTACGATTCTTCTGCAATATCCGACTCGCGCAGTATCAAACACAGCTACCTTTATTCCAGCACAGATTTCTTTGCCACCAGGAAGAGTGAGGATTTTGGCATTGGAAATCGAGCCAAGGGCGTCGTGACATTTGCAATCATGTCTAAGTTTGCTGTTGTTGAACTTAAGGACTTGACGCCCAGCAGCGGTGGTGACATGCTGTTATACGTTTCTGTAGACATCAAAGAGTGGGTTAAGGCACAGTTCCCCTCCCAGGTGCGCTTACGGGAGAACACATACTCCATTGTCGAGTCTACAGTCCACACCCTAGCAGTACACGTTGTCCTACACGATACAAAAGCCATTGGTTCCCTGTTCGTCAGCGACTCCAATGGCACCTACTTTGTGGAGAGCTTGAAAGATACAAACAGGAATGTGGTGGGGTATGTTAATTATGAGAACATATGCGGCGTTGAGGGCGTAGGTATTGCCAATGTCGTTGCCAATGCGCAAGACATCGCGAAGTGGATGGCAGCCAAGCAATTACGGTCGGTTATCACATTCAATGACGGTGATGAACAATGTCTCTTAAGTGTTTTATTTTGTATTGATTGTATATCTTCGCAGGCAGTTCATGGGCTCCTCTTCTCGCTCCTAGCGGTACCTGCTCCTCCCAGACATGCTCGCTACATCTGCACTCAGTGTCAGACACGCACAGCTATGGCTCAGTTTTCTCGTCCCCCGCCCCTGGTTTTGTCATGGGCGTGGGTTCAGTTGGGACGACGCTCGCGCCATACGAGGAGAGCAACACCTACATGAGCACTGACGCTGGCCTGACATGGAAGATGGTCCGCGAAGGCCCATATAAATTTGAATTTGGCAATTCTGGAAGTGTCATTGTCATTGCCGATGACCAGCAACCTACAGACTCCATCATGTACTCCACGGACATGGGCCATACCTGGTACGTCTTTGCGCCCTGTGTGTGTATATATTCCACCTTGCTGAAACACCCCACCGAATAGGAAGACATACAACATCGGCATCCAATTTCGTGTCAAGGGCTTAACTGCAGTATCGGATTCAACGTCTCAGAAGTTCCTCCTCCTTGGTCAAGTGATGTCACAGTCCCAACAACCCAGCAATGACCGCAACGCTATCATCCACCTCGACTTTGCCACCCTTGGACGTCTGAGGTGTGGCCCTGATGACAAGGAGCTGTGGTACGCAAGAGCCAGTCTTAATTCTGAGTGCATCATGGGCGCCAAGGTCAGCTGCTGATGCAAACCTTGCCATGTGAATTTTGCTGATACACTTCAAAGCGACTGTACTACAGGCGCAAGGCTAATGCAGATTGCTACATGGGCGAGAAGTTAGGTCCGGAGAGTCATAATGATAAGTGCCCATGCGAGGACTATGATTATGAGTGGTACGTCGTTTCTCGTCTGTCTCCCCATCACGCCCGCTCATATATTGCTCTAGTGACTATAACTATGTATGGTATAACGACGTATCAGGCGACAGTAAATGTATTCCTTTGGGTCCAGAGCGCATACCCAACACAGAGTGCACTATCGGGTCTCCCAACGAGAGATACATGGGATTATCAGGATATCGCAAGATCCCCGGGAACAAATGTGAGGCTGGCATTCGTAAGGACGAGCCCGTGTCCAAATATTGTTATGGAGGCGAGTATTTTTGAAGTGGTGGAGTGTTTGTCTGATACATTATTTGTAGCTGAACCTGCTGAAGGAGAGGTTGTTCACCTGATCGTATGTTGTTTTTGTCTTCGTCTTTAGTGGGTGACTTATGATATCATAGCATACATTCCCCAGCGATATTGTGCAGAGGGAGTATTTCATGGGGTCAAAAGTGAGCACCTTGTACGTGTACCATATCAGACCTCAGCTTGCATATTCTTCTGTAGATCATCCTTGTCCGTCTTGCTGACCTCTCAGTATGGCAATCCAACAATGAGGGCCATACTTGGGTACAAAAGTTTCCAGAGGAACATTTCTTAGCGTTCTACATACACCCATACAGCCCCGACCGCGCATACCTCATCACCGACACCAACAAGTTCTACTATACAACAGACACAGGCCGCTTCTGGCATGCCATGAACGCACCTTCGCCCCCTAATTCCTTTGGAGCCAAAGTGCTCCATTTTCAACGCAGGTCCGAATACATCATCTGGATCGGTAATGTGGACTGCCAACCGGGGTATGAAAACTGTCGTGCACAGGCCCAGTACACATGGAACAATGGGCGTACCTGGCAGTTGGTGGAGAACTACGTTGTCGACTGTGACTGGGCATGTGATGAGGAGCCGCGGATCAAGATCCTATGTAAGTCATATGAGAACAAGCGGGGCTCGCAGGTATTTTTCGGAAAAGAGAATGCATTGCAGCTCGTCTCTGGGACAAATGCAAATGGGTTTGCAGAGAAGACGAAGTTGATTGACAATGTCGCGGGGTTTGCCAGGTTTTCACAGTTTTTGATCGTTGCAGAGGTGTGTCTTGATGATTCTTTTGTGTTGTGTGCGTGTGCTGGTTGATTCAATGTTTCTGTATTTGTAGTACCTCCAGACCACGGGCACGCTTGACCTCAAAATTTCACGGAATGGACAGACATTTACTTCTGCGAGTTTCCCTCCTGGTATGCATCCAGACTCTCATGTAGGCAGAATTCCAACTCGAAAAACACTGGAATTGCTCATGATGTTTCCTAGTCATACGGCATCCTTGATATCAGCACCAACACCATCTTCATATACACGACAATGAACGAGTGGTCTAGTACACCATGGGGCAACATCCTTAAATCCGACTCCGACGGAACTTACTTTGGAGTGTCCATCGAGAATGTGAACAGAAACAATGGTGGCTTCATCGACTTTCAAAAATTTGCAGGCTTGAATGGAATTGCGATGGCCAATGTGGTAACCAATCTTGCAGAGGCTGCATTCACGGGTCGTAAAATTCTGCAGACGAGGATAACACATAATGATGGTATGCTTTGTGTGCTGATTGTTTTTTGCGGCTCGTTGATGGTTGGTGCATCAGGTGGCACTTGGAAGGCGCTTCGGCCCCCTTCAGTAGATTCGCTGGGTCAGAAGTACCCTTGTTCGTCATTGGTATATAAAATATATTTTTCATGGACCATCGTCTGGCTAATTTTGCCGCACTATCTAGGCCTGCGCACTCCATGTCCACGGATTCACAGAGCGCGTTGATGCCCGAGTGACATACAGTAGCCCTTCCGTCATCGGTGTCGTTATGGCAGTCGGGAATGTGGGCGATACACTTGGCCCCTACACCGATAGCAATACATTTCTATCACGGGATGGCGGGTTCATATGGGAAGAAGTGCGCAAAGGCCCACACCTGTGGAAGTTCGGCGACTCAGGTTCTGTTATCGTGATCGTGAATGACGAAGAGCCAACAGACCACGTCTTGTTTACGACAGACCAGGGGCTCAGTTGGCTAGAATTCAAGTTCACGTTTGACAAGATCAGAGTGAAGGATATTATGACAGCGCCGGAGGGTAGAAGTCGGAAGTTTATACTGCTGGGCCAGTATCCTGGGACAGCCGGCTCGGTGATCGTGCACTTGGATTTCTCATCTCTCACACATAGAAAATGTGAGTAGCGTGCTCTTATGCTCAATGATCGATGTTGAACTCGTTCTTCTAGGCCTCGTGGATGTGAAAATTCCTGGACATGACTTTGAGCTGTGGAGCCCCAGCGAAGAACGAGACGAACTCTGCTTGTTCGGACAACAGGTGAGTCGCCCAGACTCGAGTTTTTCCTTTGTCATCCACATCATCATGTACAGACGCTGTACCATCGCCGCAAACGTGATGTGAACTGCGTTGTCGGAGACACGCCCAAGGCACCAAATAATATCGTGCGGAACTGCAGATGTAGATCAGAGGATTTTGAGTGGTGAGTTATAGGTGTGATATTACTCGCTCAGAGCTGACTTGAATCTGGTCACGAAAAAGTGCATTCAATCATATCCGTAATAGGGATGGTGAATGTGATCTTATACCTGGCGCGAGTCTACTTGCTCCCGATGATTCATGTCGCGATGGTGAAGACTATTGGTACGAGCGCACGGCTTACCGCAAGGTCGTCTACTCTACTTGTGAGGGTGGCGACCGCATCGACCAAGGCACACAACACCCGTGCCCTGACATTCAAGTTCCCGACCACGCTACTTCTGGCCACAGAACAATGTTCTGGATTATGGTGATTCTGGTCTCCTTCACGATCACAGCGCTTGTCGTTGCATGGTGGTGGTACAACAAAAGTAAAATGGCGAGAGGGCGAGTGATATTCACTTAGTATGTGCCCGTTCTATGCTCACTGTTGATACACAGGGCAATTCATTTATCTGAAGACGACGATTCGCCCCAGTCAGGTCCTGGTGTGCTTGCTACGATGGCATCTGTGCCATGGTTCCTGCTTGGGCTTTTGGGTGTTGCCTTTAAATATGCGCGTGACGTGTCGCAGGGTTACCGTGCAAGGCGTAAATGCGGAGCTGTGTCTTTGGACGAAGATACGCAGGTCTTGCATATTGAGGATAGGGAATAAGTTGGGCAGCTACCAAACAGTCGTGTACAAGTGGGAAATGTAGACTTCAACTGTGAGTTTGAGTGAAATCAGTACCTTTTCCCGATCATAAAATTTCGTAGGAAAATCAGGGAATCTCCTTTCCTCTGAGGCCAAATATAACAATGTGATTGTCGATAGCAGAATTAATTATGCTAGTTCCTGTGATTACTAGGCGCCGTCGCCGGCGATGACCTTGCTTTCGTTGTCGCACTTTTCAAAGACAGGTTGTGATACAAAACAGAGAATGCGGAAAATGCCGTTGTGTGCCGTTGTGGACGAATCATTTGCAGAATTAACGGGTTGGCATATGACCTTGCAAGCGAGGCGATGTACTATATAACGTGATATATAGTCTTCTACTTTCCTCACCGGTTCACTGATGCCAAGCTGTGATAAACATCCTCTATAACACCCCTCCTCCGAGTTTGCAGCCCTTTAAAAAGTGTATTTAATCGCAAACCAAGTTTTTGCAACTTTGCTGACGGAGTCCGACTTAGACATATCTTTAACTGCCTGGTACAAAATGAACCTAGGTGTGTTATCCCGCGTGTCTGGTATCCTCGCTGGACGCGGGTTCAACATTGACTCTCTGGTGGTGTGCCGGACTGAAATTCGTGACTTGAGTCGGATGTCCAATGTCCATCGTCCTTAGCGGACAGGATGGAGTTATGGAGCAGGCAAGGAGACAACTAGAGGACCTCGTAAGTTTGTTTGTCCAACACTGTTTCATCCTTTTCATTGCAAAATAGGTGCCTGTATGGGCTGTTCTCGACTATACAAATACCCGTGTTATCACACGTGAATTCCTCCTCGTAAGTGTTCATCTTGGTCCCGAGTACTTGGAGGATCAACTCCTGGGTGGACCCTCTCATAAACCGAGGCGGGGTTTCCACCCACCTCATCGGGAGACCAAACTTGAAAAAGAAACCACGCTCGCTCATAATTTCGAGCGTGGTGCCCACCCTAACTCTCACACAGAGCCACATAATCCGTCCCCATTGACGCCCTCCGAGGCCCTCCGCCTTAAACACCAGCACCTCCAATCCATCTCCGTCTTATCCGACCAATTCGGAGCAAAGATTGTCGACGTGAGCGAGAACAGCGTCATCGTTGAGCTCACTGCAAAAACAATCGTGTCATCGCGGTTGTGAGTTTACTCAAACCATTTGGAATCAGCTCGGACTGGTGAGTCTTGTCTTCATGTCCGTGCGAGTTAAGTTAACTGTCTGTAAGTCTTATGGCGATGCCGCGGACACCCATCACGCATTCCTCAGATGATTCTGACGATGCAGCGGACGAGATTGGTGTTGTTTGCTTCCCCCTGGTTAGGTGGTCAGTTGAAGCGGCCGTCGTATGATATGTATTGATTGAGATATATCATGCTAACAATTTTATATAGCGAGGAATCTAGAGGATTCGTATCAGCTGTGATCTTGTAATTTTCTGATGAGCATGGTGGAATGCTATTATCAACTAGCAACTGACGTCCAAGGTCAATCCTAGAAAATATATACGCCGATAGGCACGTTGAACATGAAATCGTCGCTGATTAGATTAGATTCATCCGTTTACATCTCCGGGTCTCCTATTTCCGTGAACTCACTAACATGACCGAATTCGGAGCAAGGGTGTTGAAAGAATTTTTGAACAGAAGCCTCCTTTCTTAGTACTCTGTCCACCATGGATGAACTTACTATTGGCTCACATATCAGGGATCGCTCGCCATCCCTTGATACTATTCCTCTCGACATACTTTTCGATATATTTCAGCTTCTTCCTATCCAAAGCGTCCTGGCACTACGACAGGTTTGCGCCCCTGTTTTCATCTCACGGGGTATTTTAATCTGATTTTTATTTTCTAGACTAGTAAAAGTTTTGATGCCATCACCCGTCTGCGCAGTCTCTGGGTTCTCCTTCTGCGGACTCTTGTCCAGGAGCAAAACATCCCTATACCCTACTTCGATGAGAAATCCCCCGAGTCTCTGTCAGCCTCAGAGCTCGAGCGGTTCACATGTCGTGCACTTGCTCTTCGCATCAACTGGACTAACCCTAATCCGAATCCGAAGAGAGAAATTCGTTTTCAAGTTGGGGCGGCCGTGAAAGATCCCGACGTTTTCTTTTTGGAGTTTCTCCCTGGCAGAGGAAATCGTTGGTTGGTTTCTGTCACGAGTGAGGCATTCAGAAAATGTATCGTCCAGTGCTGGGACCTTACTGCCCTACAACCCGTGTGCATAGCAAAACTGACGTACACAAACGGGGGAGGCAACAACAGTGTTATTATCAATAACGATCCCTCTTCTCCAGCCATAATGGCGATCCAGTCCAAGCCAGCAGTGTGAGTGTAAATTGTAACACCCGCTTTAAGACTCTTGCTGACTGTCTAGCATAGAACGGAAACAGTCACCATCGACTTCGAAGAGAAAGACCCCGAGTCAGCATTCGTTCCGCTGAGCGCCATTGATGGACGTAGAGAGATCCACCTACTCAGCGGGAGCACACTCGTCACCAAGAATCCAACACTCGACGGAAAAGTGAGCATATGGGATATCAGCGATCAACCTTATGAGAAAATCCAGTTGATGAGCCCCTCACTATTACAGGTTAGCTTGCTTTTCCCGTGTAATCCCGCGCATCGCTGAATTCTATGATTTAGGAGTACGATTGCAGTGCAATGCATCTCTGTGACGATTACCTGATAATATTCTTCATCTGGACTGTCGAGCTCTACTCGACCATTCCCCGACCCACCAACATTGCAACGCCGGGAGTGCCAATCTCGTATCCACTCGCACAGTACAGCTTCCAATATCAGATCATAGACAACGTCAATATGTCAAAGCAAGTTAGCTGGCATGCTGCGCGCTTGCACCGCCCATCGCCAATCAACATTGTCATTCGAGCTAGAACCACCTATCTCGGGGGGGAGCACACATTGCATCATTTCGTGCTTGACCCAAATCCCTCATATGTCCCAGGAATGGAGACTTCTCTATACAACCTTCCATACTTGGTGCAACCCACTCTAGTGCAGACAATATACTCTCCAGTGTGGTCAGAACCGAGGTCGGCCGTTGCTCTCGGACATGATACTGTGCTCTTACTTGACAACCATGACCCAGACGAGGATCACGGGATGGAGTATAGGGACCTTCAACATCAGCAACTTGCAGGACGGATACTGACGACTACAGGAGGATCCCCGACTAGCCAGCATGGCTCACATCGTTCCATGGCATTTAGCGCACAAGCCGGCAACTATTGGAACGGGGCAGCGATGGATGAGGAGTCTGGGAGAATTGTGGTCAGTGGTGTGGAAGGTACGATAACACTCTTCGAATATATTTAACTTGGTTTCTTCATTTGTTTTTTGTTTTGATTATTGTCTTGACATGGACATTCTTCTCCACACGCACATCAAACTCACATCTAGCATATTTCACCATTTTCTCGTCTGTGACTTTATATCCCTTGTCCATGTGTGACTTTATAGCCCTTGTCCATGAAAATTCATTGTGGTGATGTACAACTGCATGTTTCATTCCTGCTAGGTTTCCATTCCGAAAGGATCACAATTATTCCAAGTCACAGCCGATATATCGAGTTAGGACGCAATGAGGACCTGGAAACCAATATGTGCCGTGTCATAATCCCATACTCGGAAAAGCACGTACCGCCGACGGCGTCAGTCCGAGTTCCCTCAGTGTTTTGCTAAACTGATCGCGAGAGAATGTTTTCCTATTGTAAAAACCATGAATCCTCGGCACGGGTACACCGCGCAACAAGATGCAGACTGACCTGGGGAAATGCTGGGCGAATGTGACTGTTTCCACATCGACGGAAAGCGTCTGGGCAGCTAAAAATTCAGCAACCTCACGTAACGCTTGCAAGATGTGTCAGTTCACAAGACGTTCGTGTATGCAGGGAAGCGATGAGACATACTTGCATCACTCGGCAAGGTGGTCGTGTAAGGCGTTCCTCCACTTGCCATACGGATTTGGAGACGAGTGTCTTTGAAGTCCCTCCCACTTGTGCCGCTGGACGAGGACGCTGTTACTGCTGGAGTCGTTGACGCACTGGCTGATGCGTCAATAATTGGTTGGCCGTCACGTAAAGCTTTCTCCCTTGCAGCCTTTTCTGCACGGGCTTTCTTATCAGCCTCAATCTGAGCCTTTACCGCGGCCTTGGCCTTGGCATCCTCAAGCTTCTCTACCGCACGCGGTTAGATCGGATTAATATGGATAGAATCCATGCGCATGGCAATCACCTCTACGTTTCTGCTCAGCTTCTTTCACAAGCTCCTTGGCTTTCAGCTCATCTTTCGCTTTGCTGATGTCCTAGTTTGATTGAACTTCTGAAACACAAACACTACCAAGTACGCGACTAAACTCACCTTGCCAGACTTGCGGCGAATAGCTTCATTCGCACGTGCTTCCTCGGCTTCTTGTTGAGATTTTACGCTGCGCTTTGCAGCTATTTTTTCTCTGAGGTCAGCCAACTTCTGCCGCTTCTCTTCCTCCGTAAGTGGCTTTATCTGAGGGACGTCTGAGGTTAGAGACACGGCACGCGACACGGGGTACAAACCTCTTCCGTAGACTCCTCAAACTGATCATGTCCACTCTTCTCGGCATGGTAATTAGCCAACGCTGTGTTCTTAAATACCTTGCCGCATTCTGAGCATTTGATACTCTAATAAATGAGTTTATTGAAGATAGAGGCTTCAGAGCCGCAATTGAAATAAACGTACCTTGGCATCTACTTCAGTGCTCGATGCCAATGTGGCACCAGCCTTAGTTCCTATCAAGCGCCGCAGGGCATCTTCATCTTCGTCGTCAACATCGACGTCGACATCGACGTCGACGTCCATGGGCTGCCCTGCGCTGCCCGATGCACTCGTAGGAGCAGCAGCGTTCGGATCTGGAATAGGCTTCCCTTCGTTCTCCAGAATGTGATCCATTGCGGGCTGCAAACCGCGATTGTTAGTCGCTCTCAATGCCCCTACGTATAGCGCGTCCACGGTGGCGCCTCAATTAGCCAGAGAACGCAGACTGGTGAAACAAGAGAATACGAACAGTCAACACGGGCTGGGTCGAATCCCATGCTGAGTAGCGTTTCCTTATCGCCAGCCATCAGTAGTGTTGAGATATATACGAAGCTTTGAAGAGTTCAGGTCGAAAGGAGGTCACGCCGGTTGCGCCGAAGCGCTCAGACGACTTGACTAGTATTTCCATATTTGGACTCGCATATTTGTTGGACGCGAGAAAGTCATTAGATCTCCCGACGAATGGATTCAAGTAGCTAAGCTCGTTTCTGCCAGCTAGATTTATTTTGAAGGCTAATTAGGAATGACACAGTAGATGGTATGGAATGTGAGTTACAAGTGTATGATGAACTACGCTGGATCCGATGAGCAAATTGATCATGTCCCAGTGCCAGGTCATCATTTAGTGTCTCAAGTCAGACAACCAAAGATCAGAAACAGATTCTCCAATTATGTGTAACAGGTAAGGTATTTATACGTATACAAGCTAGCAAGGATTGACTCTTCTATAGATCTAATTCCATATAACCACTAGTGCTACAAAATCGTAAACAAAAACGCACAGCAAGATACAACAAGATCAGCGTTAATGAGCGTTATTTATGTTGAATAGACAGAAAGGTAATGAATGAACTGTGCACTCCACCTCCTACTTTTTCGAGGACTTGAAGAAGCCTATCATGTTGAGCCTCGACGGCTTCTTGGCGAGAGTCTTCTTGCAGGGAAAACTCAGCGAGTTGCTGTTGTTGGGCTGCACGAGGTCGAGGCGCGTAAGGAATTTGCCACGCTCGTCCTTGTACATGGCTGGAGCAGAAGGGGCAGCAGAAGCCATAGGCTCGAACGAAGATTCAAAAAAGTCCTTGCGGGTGTGTTCAACATCCATGGGAGAGTTCGACGGCTGCCTCAGCGCAGGGCTGGGAGGGGTGAGCGTCAGTGGCGTAGGGCGTCTGCGCGCCTTGCCCTTGGGCTTAGCGACACCATTTGCACACGCCGACACCGCAAAGTCGGGGCTCTTGGGAGATGCGAAGCCCCCGGAAAATGCGGCGTTCAAAAGGTAGTCGGGTTTGTGAAGGTGCTTAGCAGCGCGCCGAGGACGGGACGGGAGCGCAAGGACAGACATTGCTGGCTTGCGAGTAGCGAGGGGAGTAAGAGCGCTTCCGAAGACAGCGAGATCATCCGTGTCAAGATGGTCAGTGGGCTGGACGATGTACCGCGGATCCAAGTCAGAGTCTTGGGTTGAAACGCTGCCGCGACGCTCCCCGTCAACGTCAGCGTTAGCGGAGGACGATTTGTCCCCGCCAAAAGTAACCCACCCTAGGTCACCCATACCGCCAGCGGCACCATCCTCGCCGGCGGCGAGGAGATGGGCATACTCCCATTCCTCATCCTGATCCCACCAAACACCACCTTCGCCATCACGGTAGACATCACTAACACCGGCAGCCCCAGCTCTGGCCTGAGCCTCCATGACACGTTTGATGTTGGATTCCATGCTGCCACCGTCAATAAACTGCATAAGCGCGAGCTCGTTGGCAAGAGGTGCAGGGCGCATGTGAGCGTACTTCGCCTTCTTGCGCTTGACCACAGCAGCAGACGACGCTGCTGCGGCTTTAGCCTTCATCTTTGTGGGAGACGAGGGCGCTGCGGACTTGGATCTGCTGCGGTACTTGAGTCCGGACAGGGAGCGTAAGCGTGTAAGCCCGCGAGGGTTGCGTGTCGGTGATGTGGGCACTGGAGGTATTGGAATCTGATGCCCGGTCTCAGCAGTGTGAGGCTTGAATGCGATGAGAGTCTTAGGGAACTGCGCAAAGGCAGAAGTATAGCCGACGGAGGTGAGGTCGGCTTTAAAATTCTGTATCGAGGGGGTTGCGGCGTTGCGACGGGCAGTGGAAGGGGTGTCTGGAACGTTTAAGAAGCAGCCTGCTGAGCTACGGGCGGACGTAATGGATGCTCTGCGACCGCAGCCGATCGAGGGACGGCGACGCGGAGAACGCGGAGAAAGAGATGCAGGAGATCCAGGCTGGACGTGGGCTGCCCAAGCGGTGATTGTAGAAAAAGTATTCGAGCGAGGGCGGATGCGCGGGGGGGCCTGAGGAACAACTATCCTGGCGTACGAAGGTGGTGAAGGCAGGGGTTGTGTAGGACGCTTTTTAGGGGGTGGGGGATGAGCCAGGAAAGCGTATTTCGGGCGATGACCTGCTTGAATAACAATATCCTGAGGCACAGCATGGAACGGGATAATACTAGTAGACATTGATGCGGACTCGGAACGAGCGTGAAGTTCTAATAAATCGATATATGGACGAGGCTTCACGGAAGTATCTGTCTATTCTGCGTTGGGCGCACATTAGTTGGTCGTTGTCGAGAACGGAGACATGAAACTTACAAGTGACGTGACGTAGAAGAAGAGTCGGGGGACGTTATAGTCTCTTGAATAAACACAGACAGAAAGAAATGAGCAATATAGTGATGACAATGCAGATGGTCTATGCTGGATGATATACAATTTGGTAGCGTTGCAAAGAATTAGTAGAAAGATGAATGCAAGAGAGTGCTGAAAGAGTTGGATGATGATCCTGATTAGCAGACGCGAGGCTAGCTCAACGGTACTAGATAGTGTTTGGAACTGCACCAGGCGTCTGCTTTTGAGGGATAGCCTGGACAAAAGGCTGTAGTCCACGGCCACTGTTTGGACAATAGTACTTATCTAAACTAACAAGCGCTGTGGCAAATTAGCCTCGGCTTGTATTGTGTAAACTCACACCCACAACAAGGCATTGTCTTCCCAGGACACCGTAAACTCTGTTCACGTCGGCTGTTTCCGTCCTCATTGTCCGACTTCAATGCATTTGCTCCACGGTACCGGTCAACTTGGATGAAAATTAAATTTGTGAGTATCACATTCAGTCCTTGCAACCAGAACAGCAACTCATCCAGCGAGGCTCCTTGAAATTCCGTATTGGCTAACAGGAGTGATCAGGGTCTCTGCTAATAAATACAATGCTTGCCTAACTAGGCAGCTCAACGCCAGCACTGCTGTACTTCATTAGTCTCTCGACTAGCCAAACGATTAGCAACTGGTTAGAAGGAGGACAATTGGAAAGGCAAGAAATGCAAGCTGCTCTGTCATATTTTATTATCATTGTCGCTCGCTGAAAACGTGCGTGGCCTTCCGTGGCTACCAATTTTTTCACACTTGCTGGCATCCGCTGACTCGCTCAGCGCACACCCACTGCAGTGCCCGGAAGCAGTCCCTTGACTCACAGCCTTATCAAATGATGGACGATCAAACAAAAGAGGTAATGTACATTGCTTGGAATACATGTGCACGTTATTTTCATCAGAATCGGTCCCAGTGGTATCTGCCAATATCAGCACTTCCCCCCTCTAAGACCCGCGACCACGACCTCTGAAACCTCTCCCGACATGAATGACGCCCGCTCTTCCGCGAGGGGACACACCCCTTGACGCAGGCCCTATCCCAGCTTGTACATCAACCTCTGCGGAGGGGTGAGGCGCACCAATCTGTACATTATGGGATCCAGCTCGGGGATGAACCGCAGTTGCTATCCTCGCTCTCCCTCTACCACCTCTTGGACCGAATGTGTGAGGATTAAATTTGCTAACCTGCGGGTTGTGCATCTCTGGATGAACAAATCCCCCATTCTTTCCACCTCTTCCGAATCGTATAGATGGTGGGACCAAAGATAGAGAGTTTATCGAATTTGCCAATTTGTCTATGTCATGGTCAGCTGCAGTCTGCACTGCGCCATTTCCTCGCCGTGGTGAGATGGGAGTTCGTGTGGGTATCTCCTCAAGCTCTTGATGGTGACGTATTTTTGGTGTTGCTTCTCCATTTTGTTCGTCACCACTGCTTGACTCTTCACTTTCTCCTTCATCGCTATCTTCCTCTTCATCCTCATCTACGACCATTTCATCGTCTTCGGAGTCCTTCTCGTTTTTATTATCTCTGGGCTTCCAGGTTCCTCTGATCATGCTGGCTCCATCTCCCCAGCGTTTAAGTAGACCGCCCACACCTTTGTTTGTTACAGCGAAAAAGTACTCTTTTGGGTATGAATGTGCTTGGATAAGATGTAATCGACGTGCTTTGGGCGTCTGGAATAATCGTGGACATGATACAAGATGACAAGCAAACTATGAGACAGATGAGGAAGTGAGAGCATGCAGGACACTGCAGTGAAATAAAGCGCACAATTTTATCCCCCCTATCTTTTCGAACAGCAGCAAGTGGATCATGGCATTCTGTTTGATGCTATCGATCATCGATCATTGATGTCAGCGCACTCGCAGACGACCTCACTCGTGCACAGTCCACTCACGAGCTCCAGCAATCTTGCATCGGGAAACACAAACCCACATCCCTTCTGCTCACAAACTTGCGCATGATATTTTCCATAATGCAGCTCCAGATCTCTCGAGTTTGCGATCGGTGTCGGGCGGTTATGCGGCGGATTACACGTCGGGGGCAGTGTGCAGAGCAAACGGCGATCCCCCGTTGCCTCGTCTGCGGTGCGACTAGACTTATACATGGGTTCAGGTTCTAGTGGTAGCGATGTCGATGTCGTCGATTGAGATGGAAGTGATAATCGTGAAGCCGAAAACGTACGTTGGCGTTTGTTGGAGGACATTTGCATCTTTTACGTCTTCCCCACCTCGTTGCAAGCACCAGGAGATATCACTCGATCGGGAAGGTGACGCCGCGGAGATCGAAATTTATGTGTCACGCGGGTGTGACGTGTGGGTTCGGTCACATTTCTTTCCCCTCCACATTCAGAGCCCCGTCCAGCGCCTTGCAATGTCGTCAAAACGCAAATGGGACCAGGCTGCCCCTGAATCAACACCTTTTGAATTGGACACTCCTATAAAGGCGCAAAAAACTGACGAGGGGAAGACTGCTTCTGAAGCTGCGGCCGCTGCTGCTGCTATTGCTGCCAAAATTGCCGCACAGTTCAGTGCTGGTGGTGGTATCGCCGGGAGTATACAGATCGGACAGAAGGACCCGCATGATGGAGACTTCACCCATGACATTGACATCAACGATGTCCGGAACCGGTATATGTTGACAAAAGGTTCTACACAGACCGAGGTATGTGTTTTGAGTGGTGGTTGTATGGCCAGCTAAGCTCTAATCTCGCAAATAGATTCACGAGGACACGGGTGCCTCAGTTAGTACCAAGGGTGTGTGGTACCCGGATCGATCAAAGGCAACGGAGAAGGACCCTCCATTATACCTTCATCTTTCGGCTTCAAGCAAGGAGATGTTGCAAAAGGCAATTGACAAGGTTAACGAGCTAATAGCGGTTGACCTTGGTCCACTAGTAGAGGACAAGAAGGATAGATTGCGCGAAAAGGTTTTGCAATTGTTCTAACGTTTCACCGTTGGCTTACTCTTCTCCCAGCGTAAATGGCCGGAAGAGAAAATGCCTGTGGGCCTCGAGACCATTCGCAATTTCAACGTTCGTGCCAAAGTTGTTGGGCCACAGGTATGTTTGAACTTCCTCTGTATCGAACATTTAAGAATTAGCGCTTGTGCTAGGGAATGTTCGTGAAATATATCCAACAAGAAACAAGTACGCGTGTGCAGATAAAGGGTCAAGGTTCAGGCTTTGTAGAACAGGAAACCGGCCGGGAGTCGGATGAGCCTATGCACATACATATTACGTGAGACTTCATGCATTTGACTGCTTGTATGTATGACTGACACCTCGGCAGCGGACCAGACGAAAACCAAGTAGCTCGCGCTAAAGTGCTCACAGAAGACTTGCTGGAAGTTGTACGCTCTGAGCATGCCAAAGCACAGTCAGCAATGATGCAACAACAAATGGAGTTGCACCAAGCACAAATGCAATTTGCACAGTACCCGGCGGTAAGCTTAGTCCTCTTCTTAGACATAATGTTCTTCAGTTAACATCTGATTCCTAGGGTGGGTACGGTGCTCCACCACCTGCACCTGAAAACGCACCTCCACCGCCACCACCTGGAGAGCAGCCTCCCCCACCTCCAGATGGCAGTGCACCTCAACTACCGTATCCAGGTGCACCAACCGGCACACCAGGGCCAGATACCCAAGATGCATACGCAGCATACTGGTAATTTTTCTTTGAATATCTTCCTGTATTTGTCCTCACGTGACGGTAGGGCACAATACGGCTACGATGTCAACTCAGCGCAGTTCAAGGAGTGGGCTGCGAGTCAGCAAGCGCAGTATTACCAAGCATACGCTGGACAAACAGCTGCACCTGCACCAAGCGACAGTGCACCTCCACCGCCACCGCCAGCATAGAAGGCTGTTATATTTGATGCTTTCAATATGTAGCGATCGTACCTTGCTTTATATCTGTGTATTTTGGGTTGGTGCATTTCAGACTCATCGACGTACCCTTTGCTTTGTTGTAAGTATTGTTAACACACGCCAATAGCATACCATGAGCGACGATGGATGGTCTGCCATGTTAAAACTGCACTGGTACCTGCGGGGAACCATACTGATGTTGCATCATTCGGTCTACATATAGATCAAGGTGACTACTACACTATTAGGCGAGGCGTCCAAAGAAAATTGGCCGCCTCGCTCTAACCAAATCATTTCTGTCTTTATGCTGAGGAACCAGCATGCCAGAATTATACGCCGACGGAGACCATCTCGTGCTGCTCGAACCTCGGTGGAGAAGTGAAACATACACAGTCCTCGAACGTCGTACTAACTTCTACACAGTCATCCTTGGCATGCGTATCCCAAATACTGATGATGAGACGGGGTGCGAGAATAAATGGCGCGGTATCATTGAAAAGCTCTGAGAGACTCATTGCCGGGGTCTAGGTGGTACCAGTGCGTATGTTAGTTGATCTCTGTATAACCCTTTGGAAGTATCATACCGGAATATGAGCCCATAATACCACCAACAAGATCTGGTTTGTCAAATTCCTAGCAGGAAACGATGGATACTTTCACAACCCACTCGATGAAGGGGACTTACAGAGCAAAGTACAGGACATGATACCGAACGATCATAACCATATATGTATTAATCCTCATGTGAGTTTCCCTCTGTTCCTTAAGGTGTCTCGCGAGGATGGCAGCTGCAAGAACAACCAATAAGATATCATAGCATACAATCGGGATGGAAGTATAGATCGCAGGCATAGGTCCGATGTTGAAGGAAAGGGTGCAGTACTTGGCGTTCGGAGTTATGATTTCTTTCACTATGCCATGAGGCGGGGTCAGCTTGCAGCCAAGTCGATTTCAGTAAAAATTTACCCGAGAACGCACTACGTCGACTGTATAGATAGATGTCCGTCCCAATTGAGAGGGCGACGATAGGCAAGAACAATCCCACCAGAACATAAAGTAGGAGCTTGAATTGATCGCATATGGCATAAAGACGCCAAATGAGAATGGCTGCGAGTGCAAGATTCAAACCCATAGTGAGATGCAACAATGTATATCATACCTTCCGCAAACCAGAAATATAGTGAAAATCCCCATTCAATTAGAACGATAAGAGCATAGCCTAATTCGCCATAATGATAAGTGAATGGGCATCAGATTGAAAACAGTATACTTGCAGCTATAATGATAAGAGGATAACAATTTTTGAGACTTGACTCTTGGGACATACTTGGGACGTACGGCTAGAACATGAGTTAGCCAAAAACACTCTAAATGCAAAACATCAATACACTGACTGATTCAGGTATGTACAACAGACCTCCCCCTAGGGCTGGTCAGTTGACAATGGGTCGAGTAGGCACAGGGTTACGCACAGAAACCGCACAGCCTGGTGTGAGTGTCAGCGTGCATACGTGCCGTGTCAAGGAGCCATGATGACGTACAGCGCGAGGAAAAGACCAAGATATCGAACCTAGCATAACAAATAAAATATGGTACAAATCTAAGCGCTTTCAAACAGGGCGAGTCTCACAACGAGGTACAGGCATGACATTAGCGACAACGGTCGTTTCTGGAGATTGAATCAATCTCCGGGCTGATGTGATTGTGCAGATCTGGGGTTGGACACTGACCCAGACATAATTAACCTATGCCGATAATACTAGTGATGAGTACTTGACCGACAGAAGAGATGACTGTAACCTCGATTTACCTCTTTGTCTAAGAGAAGAACTACACATTTTTCGATCAGTGGCAGTAGTGATAAGTTTTCCAAGGCCACTAACGGTACTCATATAACATCAGGGTAATGATTGGCACTGGAATCGATGTTCAGCCCAGTAGTTGCAAATCAGTTAGAATACGCTAACGAACCACCTGCATTGTTATTCCAGCGGAGACCAGCGACAACTTCTTGTTCTGACATGAGACTGTGCAGATCGAATGGGAGCCTGAAGAGGTGACTGATGCCGCTAATCGTTGATGATGGTTGGATGGAAACTGTGCCACACGGTGCTACCGAGTAACTTATCGTATGTCGGCATCACGGACTATCTCAATAGGAGTTAGCTAGAAATGAATCGAGGGTACATACGTACATAGATAATTGATACTTACCCCGTGATGCATATACATTCGGAACGCCCCTTTTGGCTTCGGCTTCCGGAACTGCTTCTCAGGCAGAACACCCTTTGATCAAGATGCTCGAGTGCTCTGTTGTAGAAATTTCGCAAACAATTTGGCAGCATATCATCAGTGATGGATAGTTAAGCTATTGGTGTTCGACAGGTCACACACGATCTGTGATATCATGTTTATGGGGAACAGCAAGATATTCTCAACTCTGCAAGGACGTAATGTTCAACGATTCGGTCCACAAACATTGCATATTACGGTATGTGGGTATTACACTATTAGGTGCTACACAAAGCTCTAAGTTGTTTATTCATAAATTTACCTCACTCGACCCCGTTCACTTTTTCTTCATACTGAGGAACTAGCCCGAGCACGCCAGAATTACACGACAACCGAGTCCATCTCGTGCTGCTCGAACCTCAGTGGTGAAGTCCAACATACACAATCCTCGAATGTTGTACTGACTTCTACGCAGTCATCGTGGGCATGCGTATCCCAAATACTGATGATGAGACGGGGCGCGAGAATAAATGGCGCAGTATCATTGAAGAATTCTGAGATACTCATCGCCGGGGTCTAGGGAGTGTAAGTGTTTAGCTGATCCATCTGTATAACCCTTTGAAATAGTCATACCGGAATGTGAGCCCATAATATGACCAATAAGATTTGGTTTGTCAAATTCCTAGCGAGAATCGATGAATAATTTTAGAACCTGCTGGATGAGGTGGGGACTTACAGGGCAAAACACAGAATATGATACCGAACTATCATGATCATATATGAATTAGCCCTCACTCGAATCCCTCTTCGTTCCTTAAGGTGCCTTGCGAGGATGGCAGCTGCAAGAACAACTAATAAGATATCATAGCATACAATCGGGATGGAAGTATAGATCGCAGGCATAGGTCCGATGTTGAAGGAAAGGGTGCAGTACTTGGCGTTCGGAGTTATGATTTCTTTCACTATGCAATGAGACGGGGTCAGCTTGCAGTCAATTCGATTTCAGCAAAAATTTACCTGAAAACGCACTATGTCGACTGTATAGATAGATGTCCGTCCCAATTGAGAGGGCGGCGATAGGCAAGAACAATCCCACCAGAACATAAAGCAGGAGCTTGGATTGATCGCATATGGCATAAAGACGCCAAATGAGAATGGCTGCAGACGTACGATTCAAACCCATAGTGAGATGCGATATACACCATACCTTCCGCAAACCAGAAATACACGGAAAATCCCCATTCAATTAGAACGACAAGATCGTAGCCTAATTCGCCATAATGATAAGTGAATGGGCATCAGGTTAAAAACGATATACTTGCAGCTATAAAAGAGGACAACAACTATTGGGACCTGGTTCTAAGACGAACTTGAGACTTACGGCTAGAATGTGTGTCAGCCCGAAACTCTTTAGATAGAAAGAATCAATACACTGACTGATTCAGGTATATACAACAGCCCTCCCCCTAGAACTAGTCAGTTGATGATAGCTCTTGTAGGCACAAGGTTACATACAGAAGCCGCAAAGCCTAATGCGAGTGTCAACATACATATGCGTCAAGAAGCTAGGACGACGTACAGTGCCAGGAAAAGACAGAAATATCGAACCTAGGGTAGCAAACAAGATAAAATAAAATAAACTTCCTTGACAGGGCGAAACCTAACTCATAAGACATCAGAGTAATGACTGGCACTGCAACATGTTTCAACACGATGGTTCGCTTACACATCGATAGAGCTGACGAACCAGATAGATAGTTATTCCAGCGGAGACCAGCAATGATCTCTTGTTCTGACATGAGACTGTAGATCAAAAAGCGGGTCTGAAGAGATTAGTAGGCTGCTAATGGTTGATGTTCGATATATGATACTTATAAGGCATAGAATTTTTTTGCGTCTTGAGGGCTGGTTTCTCAGTCGTTAGCCGGGAATGGACAAATGTCACTCCGAGATTCGTGGCCGACGAGAGTGGCTGTTACATCTTGGCTGAGTCTTCATTGTTCACATGTCATAGCCAACGTGTTCCCCCTGTTCTGTGGGCAGTAAGAGTGCCTTGATAGCCTAAAGAACATGAAAAAGGGTCAATATTGCTGTGCAGGCGTCTGCAAGCGCTTAGATAGTCTGACATTCTTGTCAGAACATGGTCGGGTACCCTTTCAGGAAGCAGAAATCAGACTGAGGACAACAAAAAGATCAGCAAGGGCCTCTTTCTAACATTAATTACGGAAACATACCAGACAAGGGTTGTGGTCAGAGTTATTTGTCCAGATATTCGATCAAGGTTCCAATTTACCGCCGAGAGCGCCAAAACAGGGTCATCAATGGACTAATGATGTCAGGCAGCGTGCAGCCTTAACTTGTGCCTACAAAAGGAACTTCATCAACATCGGTCGACCTGGAATGAGTCATATGCATAATACCCGTGTAGTTGGACGTACCTCATGAAAAGAACGTTGTCGGCGGTGAATTATGAATATCTGTGCTGCATTTGTTCGAGGAGAAATATTTTGTGGCGTTGCAACTTTGTGTTCAGGATTAAGGCAGGCAGCCCTTACTACCTTGCACAATGCACGAACAGTGCCCTTGCATTGACAGGAAAGCTTGAAGCTGTCGGAGGCGCAAGTTGCGAGTTGAAACTTAATTTGGCTAGCGAGAAGGCATGCAAGTACGGCAGACTCCGGTGAAATCGAACCTAAAAACTTTTAGTGCAATGGCGGAACAATAGGAGACGGAAAAAAACCAGACCGAGCGTGAATTCGTGTTTGGAGACAGCTGTAAATCATCCGTCGTTGGAAGGTGAAGGGAACGTAGAATGATATTAGGAATAAGTAAATACAAGGGTGAAGCCCAAAGAGAGAAAAGTGTGAGGGGACCGATGAGAGACACGTACGTATGAACCACTAGACAAGATAATCAAGAAAGGATGGACACAGATGGATCACGCTCATCATGTACGGACCAACCACACAAGATCAACTCGTGCAGCAACTTCGCTTGAATAGACGCGGAAGGCATCTGACGATACCGGCCGAAAGCCCGAACCTCCACTGCTGAACTCCCGCAGCAGCAAATGGGGTCACCCCTGCTAGTTCGACTGCCCATAAGTACTTGATGTTGCAGTCCTACAGCATTTAAGTTTCATTTCACGCACCCTATATTTTCAACATTGCTCGTGGTGTACACTCTCGCAAGACACCCCAGTATGCCGGGTTAATTGGATGTCAGAGATCAGCTCGTGCTGCTCGAACCTCGGCGGCGAAGTCAAACATAAACAATCCTCGAACGTTGTACTGACATGCAAGCAGTCGTCCTGGGCATGCGTGTCCCAAATGCTGATGATAAGACGGGGAGCGAGAATAAATGGCATCGTATCACTGAAAAGCTCTGAGAGATTCATCCCCGAGATCTACAAGTGTACATGTTAGCTGATATATGTATCATCTTGGGAGTATCATACTGGAATGTGAGCCCATAATATCACCATTAAGATTTGGTTTGTCAAATTCCTAAGCGAGAATTCAATTAGCACTTTCAGAAACCACTAGACACAGAGGAACCTACAGAACAAAGTACATGATATGATATCGGACAATCATTACCATATAGGTATTAGGCCTCATGTTGTATCCCCTTTGTTCCTTGAAGTGTCTTACGAGGGTGGCAGCCGCGAGAGCAACTAGGAGGACATCATAGCACACAATGGGGATGGACAAATAGATCGCAGTCATAGGCCCAATGTTGAAGGAAAAGGTGCAGTACTTGGCGTTCGGAGTAATCAATTCTTTGACTTTGTAACGAGACAACCTCAGCTTGCAGCCAATTTGATCTGGGCGAAAATTCACCTGAGAACGCGTGAGGTCGACTATAAAGATAGATATCCGTGCCTATCAAAAGGGCGACGATAGGCAAGAACGACCCTATTGCAACATAAACATAAAGTAGGAATTTCGATTGGTTGCATAGTGCGTAAAGACGCCAGATGAGAATGGCTGCGGATGATGAATCGGTACACACGACGAGTTACTAACTGCATGACTTACCTTCCGCAAAGCAAAAATACACAGACGCACCCCATTCCAGTACAACAAGAATGTCGTAGCCTATTGCATGATGAGGAAATTACAGTTTATTTTGAAGACATGAATTATACTTGCAGCTGAATGAAAGAGGTCCACGACGTTGAGACCTGGCTGTGAAACAGACTCATTGTGACGTACGGCTTAAATACGGTTCAGCTTAGAATACTCTAAAGATGGAGAGCATCAATGTACTCACTGATTCAGCTATATAAAACATTCCTCCCCCTAGCGCTAGTCAGCGAAGGATGGTTCAAATGGTATAGTGTTACATACAGCAGCCCCAAGTTCTAGCGTCGGTGTTAGTGTACAATATGAAAGACACAAATCACTACGACGTACATTGAAAGGAAAAGACCAAGATATCGAACCTAGTATAGCAGGAAATAGTACATAGACCAAAAAGTAGTGTGGGAGGATGAACTCACAACAAGGTACAGGCATGACATTAGTGACCACGGTCTGTTCTGGAGATTCAGTCAACCTCCAAGCTGGTATCATTGCGCAAATAGTATGGGGCGTTGAATACTGACCCAGACATACTTAAGCTGCGCCGATGACATAAGTACCCAACCGACAGCAAGAAAGTTCTTTATTACCTCTTTGTCAAAAAGAAGAACTGGATGATACTTCGTTCAGCAGTAGCGCAAAGGTTCATGAGGGGCAACTAACGGTACTCGTAGAACATCACTGTGAAGAGCGCTACTGGAACGGATACTCAGCACGATGGTTTATTCACAAAATAGTTGAAGGGACTGACGAACCGGATATACTGTCGTTCCATTGGAGACCAACAATGTTGTCTTCAAGTTGTTCTGACATGGCACTGTTTCGTATGAAGTGAGGAATTTGGTGAGTGATTGATGGATGTAGAAATGGCTGGAATGACTTACAACTTATCAAGTTTCCCGCCAGTGAGAATCAATAAAGTGTACAGGTATCAGCTAGCAGTTATCAGCCAATAAACGAAAGTGCTTGACATGCGGTGTCTAGTACAAGCATGGCAGTACAGGGCGTAGCGCTCTGAGCCCATCTGACCGTAAGTATCGCCATATTTTGATGTTCGCTTCACGATGAGACTATTTTAAGGTCAAATAAATATACAGGATGAAGAAACGCCGAGCGTGGCAGGTGGTTATATGGTGCTAGATGATGGCATCACATTCGTTGTAGGTATTGCAGAGAAGATGGGAAGCGGACGAAGTTGTTGAGAACTCCGTAAACTGTTCGCCGCAGTAACTAAGTTTGCTATCAACTGGACGATATCTGGCCGCATCAGTGAGATTGGCGTATGCACGTTCACTGTCACCTAGATGATGTCGTGAGGTAAAGTTGCCTGGAGCGGTGCTGGGTGAAAATATAGTGTATGTGTATGAGCTGGACTCAGAACTAAATATTCAATGAATGCACTCAGCTGGACTATAAGTCAGTGCGTATCGCTATATATGGAAATGACATGACTTACAGCCTCCTGCCACTGGCAGTGAGAATCGAAGAAGCGGCGGATGAGTGGCTAGCATCAAACATAATGCCATGAGGACAAACCGCTTACAGTTACGATTATGTAAACCTCAACTGCTTCCGAAGGTGACAGTGGTCTCCGCGGGGTGCAACCAATAGGTACAGCATTTAGGACCGACTGCCACCCACTTCGGCTCTTTCTCTACTACCGCCGCGCACTAATGGCATAGTAGTTGGCCAAAATCAGTCAACATCGCTCGGACTCACCCAGTACTCGGTGCCCATAGCTTAATGTCGGCGTTGCCCCCGATATTCTACCTAGTCTTGATGACGATGATGCGAATTTCGATCTCCTAGTACTTGAAACTTCCGTCTCAGGAAAGCGAGTTATCACAAAGACTCGACCAAAAGGCTTGAGGCGATCTGACGAATCGCGTCCATGGCTCCAGGGCCACCCTAGTTGCATCTCTGTACTTCGAGACAATCATCATTTTTGTGATGATCTTGTGAGATGTACACTTTAAACCAGACTACGTCATGCTGATGGTCCATAAGTGATGGCGTAGTACTCAGCCATCTAACGCGCTTTAGTAATTGATGGAGATGGAAGCACAGGGTCTCTCTTTACGCATACATCATCAAGGGTCTCCTTGGTCAAAATAGTCATCTTTTCTTGGTCCTCGTAGCTATCGGCGGACACTCGATCAAATGCTCCTCCACTAAATTTGTCTCTGTCAACCATCGAAGGGCTCGACATGTGGCAACTACATGGGTCCCTTCATAGAATTCGCCGGCGGCTATCTCACGAATCCCGAAGCTACAGAGCGCTACCAGTTCTGTCTTGCCAAGACCGCTGACCAGTTCATGTACTCGAGGCTCAACCTTGAATACAGTCATCACTGGCGCAACCTGGGCATCGTCTTTGGACACTTTACGTTCAACGTGAGTCACTGCCGGACAGATGTCGTCCTAATCTCGTGCTCACATACCATCTGTAGATTGTTGCTGTTTTCTGGTTCAGATATTTCACGCGCATCCGCACCGTCAGCGTATTTGCTTCTCTCAGACAAAACCTAATTCGTCGCAAGTAGATTGCAATTCGTGCGTACCATATATGTACTCTCGGATGTACTCACATGACTTGATACACGCGCCTAAGCCTGTCGGCTGCGGAGCCATGATATTGTACTCGGACAACTATCGTCGTGAAACTTCACATCTGCTTAGCATCAAGTCAAATAGGTACTCGATCTGTATCGGAAATGATGATCACGTCTTTTCCTGGAGCTGCATCTGAGATGACAGCTAATAGACTAGTATTATTACGGTATACCATCGCGCTTGAGTGATGGCAGGATCCCGTGCTGAGTCGGCTGTACAGTTTGTAGCCCATATATGTACATAGACCTTTCGTTTGCCAATTGTATCAGCTCTTAGATGGATGGCGGCTAATAACAGACGATAAAACAAGCTTATGGTTGGTCACTGTAGCATTGACCGAGGCTCAGATGACCAATGTCTCTACGGGTTTCGAAGTTGGTATATCTTGCAAGGTTATATTCCAGGACAAAAGTATGAACTTATAACCATAGGTGATCGCCATAAGTAATTTATTCATAAATACATATATTAGCGTGACCTCAAGTCACACAGTCTCGGCGCCTTCTGTCTCCATGCTAAACGTGGATTCAGGATGCTCGACGCAAGGATTCATCTCGTGCTGCTCAAAGTCCGGTGGCGAAGTCCAGCATACACAATCGGCGAACGTCGTGCTGACATGCACGCACTCGTCGTTGGCATGCGTATCCCAAATGCTGATGATGAGACGGGGCGCAAGAACAAAGGGCGCCGTACCGTTGAAGAGCTCTGCCAGACTCATTGCTGGCGTCTGCGAATGTATATACGTTAATCGATCTCTGCATAACTTGGAAGTTTCATACCGGAATATCAGCCCATAATATCACCAATAAGATTTGGTTTGTCAGGTTCCTAGCAAGATACGATTATTCCTTTTAGAACCCGATGGATGAAACAGAACTTACAGGGCAAAGTACAAGATATGATAGCGGACAATCATTACCATGTAGGTATTAGGCCTCATTTTGATCCTCCTCTGTTCCATAAGATGTTTCACGAGGGTGACGACTGCGAGGATAACGAGTAATATATCAAAGCACATGATGGGGATAGAGGTATAAATCGCAAGCATAGGTCCTATGTGGAAGGAAAGGGTGCAGTAATTGGCGCTCGGAGTTATCACCTCTTTCACTATGGAACGAGGTGGGGTCAGCTTGCAGCCAAAGCAATCAGGATACAAATTTACCAGAGAACACCTCTCGTCGACTATACAAAAAGATGTCTGTCCCTATCGACAGGGCAACGATAGGCACGAACAACCCCACTAGAACATGAAGTACGAGCTTGGATTGGTTGGATATGGCATAAAGACGCCAGATAAGAATGACTGCGGATGCGGGATTGGTACGCATAGCGAGATGCAAGAATGTATGTCTTACTTTCCGCAAAGCAAAAATACACTGAAAACCCCCATTCAATCAGAACGATAAGATCGTAGCCTATTCCAATTGTATGATGAGCAAGTGCACTTCAGGTTGAAAATTATATACGTACAGCTAGATAAGAGGACAACTAGGACTCAGTGAGCTGTGAAATGAACTGATGACGTACGGCTGAAAGATGTATTAGGCTAAAGTTCTTGAACGATGGAAGGCATATATATGCTTACTGATTCAGGCATATACAACAGACCTCCCCCTAGCGCAAGTCAGTCAATAATGGCTTGAGTTGGCATGGGCTAGTGACACATACAGCAGGCGCACACACTGGTGTGAAAACTTGTCAGCATGATGTGTACAGTGTGAGGGGACGACGTACATTGCAAGGAAAAGCCCGAAATATCGAACCTAGCAAAAAACATCGTACCCTTCATTGAACACTGGCAGGGCGAAACTCACAACAAGGTATAGGCATGACATAAATGACCATGGTCTTTTCTGGAGATTCAAGGTTAGTTTTATCGTCCAGATAAGGGGGCTTGACACTGACCCAAACATACTCAATCTATGTCGATAATCAGAACCATCAACACTCGACCGATAGAGCAAGAGTTCGTTATTACCTCCTTGCAGAACAGAAGAACTAGATGACCTTTCGCTCAGCGAGAGTACAAGGTTTACCAAGACTACTGACGGTACTCATACGATATCAGGGCAATGGCTGCTACTGCAATCGAAGTTCAGTACGATGATGCGACAGATCAGATTAGAGAGCTGACAGACCAGACACATTGTTGTTCCAGCGGAGACCAACGGCAGCAGCCTCTCCTTGCGACATGACACGGTGCGATGGAATAGAGAATTCGAAAAGGGTTGCTGAAGTGACTTATGACAAGGCACATAATTCCTTCCGGTGGCCTCACGATTGCATCCGAGTCGTGGGGACCGACGTGTTCGTCCCTCGTCTGGCGCACTAGGATTCGGAACTAGATGTAATAAAAGGTGTATACCAAGTTTGCCTGCGCTTCCTGTTGATTTCAAGTTGATGTCCTCTATAGTGAGCTGTCAACGACTCGATAAACATCACAGCCGAACTCAAGACTGATGACTCGGGGAGTACTGGTAGCTGTTATATTTTCGCTGGATTCTTGACTACTCGCACGGTATGGCAGTCGTCGTGGTGAACGCTTATAATAGCCTAGAGAATGCGAAGCCTTATCAGGTGTGCACCATCCATCGGGCTGTTAAGCACGTACTATTGATAGACATAACCACGCCGCCTTTCAGCCTGAGCGAGCACAAATCAGGTTGAGGACAACAGCAAGTTTTCATTTGATAGAGATGTTTAGATTCGGGTGCACACGATCACTGCGGCACTGCCCACGCTTGGTCCACGCCCATGATGACCACTGGTAACCTTAGATAATCGTCGGACTTTAGACTAAACCTTCTTCAAGTTGGGTGGGAGTATGCTCCCAACTTTGAACGTCCGTACGTTCATGGGAACTGAACAAAGGTAATGGGGCAAGTGCTGTCGTAGTGGTGCGCGATGCCATGCTAGCATACCTTAGTATGAGTAAGTAATTTACAGTATTACTCATGGATGTTGATGACTACATCCATATACCGGACTTTGAAAAACAATTTCCAGGTACTAGAAAACCTCATCATGGATGAATCAGCTGTTAGCAAGATGTGCGATGTCGGACGTCCTACTGTTTGTGCGATCCCCGGGTGTGGTAGCTCTCATGCCAATCTACTGCAATATTTTCAAAGGGCCCTGACATGCCAGTTGCTGTACAAATACAGAATGTAGGGTTGGAGAACACAATTTCTTGAAGGGACTTGGACGTCAGCTATCTGTCGCACGTAGATGTTGAAACATAAAGAGGCACCGGGTCTGCTGTCCCTCAAGTTGGCGAGCGCTAGTATCAGGATCTATATCCAAATCAGTACCAGTATATACGAGCCTGGATCCGTGAAGTACACAAGCGGTAGTATCAGACGACGGAGTCTCACATGGTAAGACTATGTCAGGGTGTGAGTGGTCCTAAAAAGGCAAAATGACTCGTTGGGAGTACCTTACAGGGGGGGGGGGGCTTGATGAATTTCAAACAGTAACCGTTCCTAAAGTATGAAACTACTTATATTCCATCCTGCCTATGTTTATGTCCTTTTCTATGATAGACTCGTTGGTGAAACGTATACTGTTTTATCATTGAAACACGTACGGCATCATACTTTAAGCTTCAAGGCCGATTTCACCGAAATCAAACCTTGAAATGTTCAAGAGGACAGGCATTACTTCGCTACATATTAGATTGTATTGCGCTCATATAGTATTTGAATCTATCTCTATCGTGATGTATGTACTGTGATTCTTTGCATATTACTCTAATATTGTCATCATATAATATTATCTCAACTAGTATCTTCGTTCAATGCTGAGTCTGGAGCGGAGCGACTTCTAGTCCTGCGCGTGGCCTGATCAAAATCTGATCGTGGTCATCCGAATGTGATCCCCCACTTTCCCGTAAGTAGTATCCTAAATCACGCGATGCAAGAACCCGTTTCAGATCCCATCTCAGTAGTAGTGGTATCCATCTCATACTGCTCGGGTACTCCCTGTGAAGTCCAACATCCACAATCCTCGAATGTCGTACTGACGTATACGCAGTTGCGATGGGCATGCGTATCCCAGATACTGATAGTGAGACGCGGCGCGAGGATATATGGCACGGTACTGTTGATGAGCTCTGAGATATTCATCAACGAGATCTGTGAATAGATGAAATGTGGCATGAGCTTATTTCTGTAGGGTGTTAGAAGTATCATACTGAAAGGTCAGCCCATAATATCACCAAAAATATTTGGTTCATCAAATTCCTATCAAAATTCGATCAGTTACTATTAGAACACACTAGACAAAGGGGGATAGAACTTGCAGTACAAAGCACACGATATGAAGTCGGACGATAATAGATACAGATGAATTGGGCCTAGCGTTGATCTTCTTCCGTTCTTTGAGGTGTTTTACGAGTTTTGCACTCGCAAGAACAAGCAGGAGGACATCATAGCACACCATGGGGATAGACAAATAGGTCAGAGGCAAAGGCCCCGTTTTGAAAAAGAACGTGCAGTATTTGGCGTCTGCAGTTATTATTTCTTTTACTACAACGACAGGGATCAGATCACAGTTGATATCAATAAACATGCACCTACCTGAGAACATGCTGGGTCGACTATATAAAAAGATATCTGTTCCTATCGATACAGCGATGATGGGTAAAAGTAGTCCCAATAGGATCCGAAGTAGGAGTTTTGAACAGTTGTATAGCGCATAAAGACGCCAGACAAGAATGACTGTGGATGCAGATTCGGTACACGCAATGTGCTGCGAAAAAAATGCATAACTTACCTTCTGCAACGCAACTATATATTGAATAACCCCATTCCATGAAAACGACAAGATCGTGACCTATTTCGTGTTCATGATGAACAAGGAGAGTTTAGGTTGAAGATGGTATACTGACATCTACACAGATGAGAAATCAACGATTATTGAAACTTGGGGTTTCGATCGAAATAAAGACGTACGGCTGAAATATAGGTCAACCGAAACTCTGTCAAGAAGTATCGCTAAACTCACTGATGAAGGCATAAACAGCAGTCCTCCCCCTAGAGCTAGTCAGCGAATAATGATACAGCTAACATCGATTTACACACAAAAACCCCAAAGCCTAAGGTCAATGTCAATATACAATGCACCGTTTGAAGAATACAACAACGTACAGCGCAAGGGAAAGTCCAAGATATCGAACCTAGTATAGAAGAAAATGAAAATCATGAAGCGCCCTGGCGGCGCGAAACTCACAACAAGGTAAAGATATGTCATTGGTGACCAGGGTCGTCGTTTCTGGAGATCTAGTTAGCCTCCAGGCTAGTCTCATGGTGCAGATTTGGGATTGGACACTGACCCAGACATATTTGACCTACACCGATAACGGCCGTAAGTATTTGACCGTCATGAAAGAAATACTTCATTACCTCTTTATCAAAGTGAAGAACTAGATAATCTTTCAGCAAAAGTACAAGGATGTTGAAGGCTACTGACGGTATTCATAGGATATCAGGGTAATAGTCACCACTGGATTCAACATTTAGTATGATAGTTCTACTAGATCATTTGAAAGAAGCTGACGAACCCGAAATATTGTTATTCCAGCGAAGGCCAGCGACAGCATCTTGGTCCGACATGACAATATCAAATAGTTGATGCCAGTGATCATCGAAGTACAAGACTTATAAGGCCCAGAATCGTCTCGCCTCGTGAAATCCTATCAGGCGGTGTTCCACGGGGTACGAAAATTGCACGAGAGCACCGAATGGCAGTTTGCACTCATTTCATGTCCGCATTAGTACAACGCACTGTCAACAATAGCCAACTACCGGTGAACAGACATTCCGCCCGGATTCACGGACAAAGGGGCAGTAACGTCATGGCTAGAAGTTTCATTAGCCATCCTTTCCCTGGCAGCAAACGTTCTTCGGCGTATTTATAGCATAAATGATTTGGAACGAAGTCTTATCGGTGGCTTGCGTTGGATCAGCGCTTGGTGTTGACGCCCGTACACCAATACCATATCGGTCTCGAGGAAGCAGAAACTTCAGTAAAGATGTCGACGTTTACGAGACGTACCAAGCTTTGATTTATCCCCTGGATGCGACAAGGGGCGGAGGCTGATTGATGCCCTGATTCTGTCAGGCTGCCCTTATACCCACAAAAGTAACTATGTCATGGAGTGGGTAGGGTTAGGCACGCTGTGTCTGTGGCTGGGCTAACGTTGAACGTTGAACGTCGAGACGTTGACATTATTGGTGTAAAAAATATACACAATCTATCAAAGTTATCCGTGTGGATTAATCAAGGCGCGTGTCGCACGCATGGTAGCATTGATGGATGACTAAATGAAGGTGCTTGATCAAGTTGGAGGCTGATAAGTAGTATCGTCAAGTTTCATCTCTATACCAGCAGGAAGCACTATTTTCCTTCCACCAGTCCAAATAAGGGGAGATCAAGAACCGACACTTCGTTAGCCAATCGCACAAAAGACGAGCGTGACAGAATGTTAAGGTTATGGACGGGTTCGCATTCGGCTCGTATTCACAAGCGCCCGTTCGCCGTGGTTTCCTGAGGAATATCCCGGTATTCGCGACCACGATCCCGCTCCGAAGGTGTGATGTCATGTGGCTATCCAGAAAAAAAATCAGAGATAGCGATCACGGGTGGTAGCTTGCGAGCCTACATCTACTGGGCGGTACCTCCCGTTAGCATGTGGAACACTGTGCCCGTTCATGTGGTGGGGTGGAGGCGGTGCGGCTGGAGGTGCTACAGGGTGTGAGTATAGTGCCGGAGAGGGACGCGTGAGATGCATGAGGGAAGGCGTTGCTGGAACTGTAAGATTTATAGCATCAAGAAGCAAGCTTGAAACGAACAAGTATGTCAGGAACGCAGACCAGAAAGCAAGAGCGGGCGCACTCGTTCTCAGCTTGAAGCTTCTGCATGCGTGCATTTGCAAGCTCAAGATCTCTTACAAGCTCCTCGTGTAACTAGCGGGGTTGAACGTACTGCGTCAAGAGTGCTCCGGCTAAGATACGTACCCCTACAACTTGATCGAAGCGTTCCCTCATAACTTGAAATCTGGCAAATAGTGAGTCGACGGGAGGGTGCGCGCAGTCGAGACACACTTTTCTTTGAATTTTCCACGAGGTACGGCTGGTGCCTAGATACCAGTAAGTTCAAAGCGTGGTACTGCGTCATCAAATACATTACTCTGTTTTTATTGGTATCGTCTGGTACTTTGTCTCCTAAGCGTTGTCCTTTCTGCAGTTTCGAGTCTATGTGTATCGGTCGCGGCAGAAGAGGTGAGTTGTCCATGCTGTCGATAGACTGTCGTCGTTTCAGGTTTAGTTGTGTATGACCTGCGGAGCGCTAATGACATGCATACGATTGGTTGAACCGGGGTCCTTGTTTGAAATGAAGAATCTTTGTCGAGCTGCACCCAACAAACGCCGCACGTCGGGCTTACTTAAGCGGCCATCAAGCCTTCCAGAGCTTCCGTTCTTGTGTTCGCATCTCTTTGAAGGCACCAGAACGTAATTATATTAATTTTTGGGGTGCGCATCTCGTATCAGGAGAAAAGTAACACTTCTCAGCATCTCGTAAGTATATTATGCACTTCAAGCTTGTTCGAAGTCAAATCGGGATCTTACAATGGTGGGGAAGTAATTCATGAAATTTGCAGCGGGTACTACGGCTACATGTTCATCCACATGGACTTCTATGACTTTGCGAAGCACGGCACAGACTCCCGGAAGTAGCGTAATTGAGCTAAGCGGATGCTACATGTAGAAATGTAGAAATTACTTGATCTGGGATACACTATAACCTATACTGTCGGATAGTCCAGACAAATTCTCCCGCTCCCTGCACAGACCTGGCAAGCGCCAATCACTTGAAGCATTTCTTGTGCAAACACAACACTGCCAGTGAACACGTTGATTGCAGGGCCTTTATGTCGTAATATATGACTTTATATTGCTTTTAGCGACAAAAATAAAGGACGTTCTTTGCATATATTGTCATACGAGCGGTCCCAGCACAAACAAATACATGACCCGGACGCATCCAGGAATGCCGCGATAAGTCTGACTCTCCGGGATACCTGAGTTCCATAGAAAATGATGAACAGTGGCTCTAAACAGATATCACGGCAGGCCGTAAGATGTTTGGAGAGAGGTTGAGGTAAAATCGAGGTAAGAAGCAGCAGCAAAGCTAGCGAGTGCATAGCTTTAGTGGGAAAATATAAGTACATTGAAATGCGAACTCGCTTTGCAAAGTATGACACGTACATTTGTATTAAGTGGTAATACCGTGAAGTAGTTCCCAGTGGCACGTCCCTTCGATAATCCAAACTGTCGCAGCTCGCAGAAGTGTTTCACAGCAATCCTCATAGCAAGAAACAGTGCGAGAACCTCCCACGCAGTGTTGAGTCCCCAATATATTATGCTAAAAGATCGAACATTTCCCTCATAAGCCTGGGGACGCTGATAGGTGCGAGAGAGGACAAGTTCTTCTGGTATTTTTCAATGAGCATGATGCAGTTAAATCTTTTGTCCGTAGTTCAAACTCACCTCCTGAACATAGTGTGTCGCGTATATTCCCGCCAGAAAGATGGTAATGAAAAAAAAATCTAGATCGCTGAGGCATGGCATATAACCGAACGATCACAATGACTTGCATCACGTTTCATTTAAGGCAACTTCACCGCTCAGCATGAACATTTGCAACGAAATCTTGATGTAGAACATATGTTTGCCTGTAAAACCGGTTAGTCATTAGCTTCAAAGGATCAAACTCTAAACAAAATAACAGCTGCTGCGGTCGTCATATTAAACCAACAAGATAGTGGTCACTCGGAATATGACCTACCCTATATAGGGGTGCAGTTAATTGCGTTTGAATGGAAGCAGGCAGGCGTGCAGGATACGCACTATACCTGTCACTGAGAGTGATGGAAGACTGTCTGCCTGCCGCCAGTTAGAAGGAATACACGCAGTGTATGTCAGTAGACTTACGCAGCATGTTGATGCCGATTGTGGAAGGTGATTATTAGCACAGCGCTAGTCTTTTTTGGACTTGCAAACATACCCAGCATGTAGTATTCCAATGTAGTGCACCTATGATATTTCGAAGACACTGTGAGTTGCTGACTGCACTATAACACAAGCTACGCACACCGAGATATATGACAGTCATAACTTAGGGACCAGCGTCGCCTCTTCCTGGTTTAGGTCATGTTGTTGTCCTGATCTGCTCACCCAGATGTCAGTTCGACTTAAAAACACCGAGATGGCTGTTCCGATGACGGCATCGACCTAAAGCCTCTTGTCTGAAAGTCAGTGGTGAAGATGTACCAAGATGCATCAGTAATTCCTTGGGACTGCCTTTGCTCACCCTAATTGTATATTACCTCGGAAGAGGAAGTAACCGCGAATCGATAATTAGCGGGTTTGGCCCTTCGGTTGGACTCGGAACCATATGACTCATCCGGGTTGAGTCAAGGTGGGGCCAGCCATCCAGCATGGTTACCGTGCCATGCTAGTGCGCAAGTACGATAAATGCTTACGCTTAAAAATTTAGAGGCCGCACAACTGGATAGGCAGTCTGAGCCGGTCTCAATTGAAGCTTATGTCGTCAAAGATTTGTTATGAGTTGTTTTGCCGATACCATCGTAAGACCACACATTGCGTTTCAACATTTTACCTCTTACAAGATTTCAATCAAAAGCAGATCTGGACCTGGCTAGCTAGAGCGTTCCAGAGCACCCTAAATTACCTTTCGAATGTAATTTCACTGGTGGCAAAAGGTGGTAAGATGTCAGTTTCCCCGCTGTGTCATGAGACCTGCCTCATCGACAAATACGTCAGCTTCTTATTATAATTGGTATTGAATACCCGGGGGTTCAAAATGGTTGAATTCGCAGCGTTACGGATTCATACCTTTCACCTTTTCGAACAGCAACCAAATTATCGGCAGTGTCCATCTGTCCTGTCGTGTTCTCATGTCTTCCTGCCATGGGAGAACTACAAGAACTGATTATGATCCTTGGCAGATAATCAGGAAAGTCATCTATAGGCTGAAGATCGTCAGGGCTACCGGTAACCGGCAGTTTTCCCACCACCGGTGTCGCCTACGACCCGGTGCATTCATTGTAGCCAGGCCACTGTGATATCTCTGAGTTCCCACGTCTCCGAAGCTTCGGAGAACGACTTTAACACTGCCTGGGAGCAGGTGAACTGCTGCCTTTCACGATCATCATGAGTGCGAGCGTAATAGCCAATCGATCGTTTAGTCTGATGATAGTTTAAGTTATCTTCCGCCCGCGATTATGTATTATCGGCTGAAGTGGCTATACATACCAGAAGTTGGTTCAGATTTAACCACCGTTTGGAAATGGTACATGGCGAATGAACTTGCGCCGGTTACTAGCCGCCAGGACTGCACGAGTGTCTTGAGCGAGGCGCTATTAATGGCCGAAGTACAGCCGTAAGTGCGTTGGACTGGTGTTCCGAGTCTGAGGTAGTTCAGAGGAGGTGTGTATTTGCAATTTAATGTGAGGTAGACCAAGTTTCCTGAAGCCTCCAGGTAGGCGTGTGGGGGTGAAAGACTGCATGCTCGGATCAATATTCGGAATAATAATTAACTAGTTTAAATGGGGATAAGATGGCATGCAGTGTACACGTTTGGGATGACATAATTAGGGATTAAAAGGATTGTGGAAGTTGTTACTTTGTTATACTTTGAACATGGACTACGATTATTCAAACCAAGAACAATCACCAAGGCAATGGTCATCAACAACTTCAACTGGTTTCTCGTCCCCCGTATCACCTTCACCGGGTTACTATTACACTCCAAATCAGCAACAATCACCGTCAAGACCAACTAGCAGCAATTTAACGCTCAACCTCAGTTCCCTCTCTGTATCTTCACATCTTCATCACGGTGTATCTCCTATAACTCCTGTATCTCCTCCAAATTTCAGTCCAGCTCATCTCAGTCCACAACCTCCTACCTTTCAATTCAACTTTGAACCGACAGACGACTCATCTCTCTTACTAGCACAGCGTCGTCCGAGCACAGGATCTCACTCTACTTCATCAAGCGAATTAGCAGTAGAAAAGAGCGTACCGCGTAAACGAAGTCTCACAAACACCGCTCCTCCACCACCAACTAATCACAGTCATGGACACTCTCATTCTTATGGAGGGCACGTACTTCCGCATCCAATCATAACAACAACAGCCTCATCACCACCTCCAATAAGCGAACCTTCCTCTCAAGGTCCGCTCACACCGGCTAGTTCACAGCCTTCAAATCAGATCGATATAAACGCAACATACGATGATCCCGATGGCATAACGGGTTATTCAATGCCAGATCAAGCCGACACAGACGACGAAGGCCAAAAATCTAGCACAACAGGTCCTAGTCTAGGCGTCATCGGTAAACCAATGGGCACCAACAACTTTGTAACAAAGCTTTATCAGTGCGTTCAATTAACTCTTTCATATCTGTCATTCAACATCTACAGGATGATCAACGATCCAAAGAGTCAGCTTTTCATCGCATGGACTGAACTCGGAACAAGGTCAGTCCTATTTCATCGTTCTCACTTTCTGCCTCATTCAATCTTTCTAGTTTCGTCGTTTCAAACGTAGGCGAATTCAGCAGGAGCATCCTTGGTTCTCATTTCAAACACAACAACGTCAGTCTCCTTTTCACCACTATTTAAACAACTCACATCTCCACAGTTCTCAAGCTTTGTGCGCCAACTCAACATGTACGGCTTTCACAAAATCAACCGAGTCCGTACCTATCTCCACTCATTTCATCATCTAACATTTCATAAAACAGACACCACGCGCCCAACGCACATCTACAACGTCTCAAACTTGGGAATTCAGTCATCCCAAATTTCTCCGCGCACGCCCAGACCTCTTGGACGCCATCAAACGCAAAGCTCTTGAGCCTGATCCTCGCGAGCGTGGCCGGTAAGCCCCGCTCAATCTCCACCACAAAACTAAAGTTAATCTAACCCCTAGCGTTGAACTCCCGGGCGAAGTCGCTCGTCTCCTAAACGACATGCGAGACGAGAACAAGTCCCTCTGGCGTGAGATCTCACGTCTAGGCGGACGCGTCCCTTCTCACATCGCCAACACCCTCTCCCAATCTGCTAGTACCTCCCCCCCGAAATTACATATCGGGGGAGATGAGGAGGATGATGATGGCAGTGAGGAGGGGTTTTCGTTCAATGTCATGGTGCCTGGTTTCAGTATGGGGATGGGTGGTGGAGGCGAAGCTTGGATGAATTGGGCAGGTGCCGAGATGCGCCGTGAACGACGGAAAGTGGAGAAATTGACTGGGATCGTAAGGACCCTATGCGATACGATCGGATCTGGTGCGTTTCTCCCTTTAAATTCCAACTCATCACTAACCCTACACACAGTATCACCAACGCTAATCCAAGAACTCAACGCCCTGAACGCCCCAAGCCCCTCCCCCTCTCCAGTCCCTCCAAGCCCGATTCCGAGCGATCACAGCCCCAACATCTACATCACCTCAGCCCCCTCTCCATCCCCCTCACACTCACACTCACACTCCCCCTCCCATTCGCACTCGTCTCAGGGCCATGGCCACAGCCATCACCCATCAGTCCCAATGCTCAGCATCCCCCAGTACGCCCTGCACACATCAACCCCCTCTCCCACCTCCAGCGAGTTCTCTGCCTTTGGTCGACACGGACACGGGCGCCAGCCTAGTATCACCCTGACGCCCACTCCTGATGTAGATGCACACGGCATGCGAGAAGGAGGAGGAAGGGAGAAGAGGCAGAGAAGGACGGGGAGTGTCGTTAGTGTGGGCAGTGTTGGGTCTTCGATGGGTGGCGGATCTCCGATGGTTTCTCCTATGGTGGGAGGGTCTGTCTCTGGACTTGGCGGTGCTTCGATGGGGGGAGAAGATGATGTTGAGGGGGAGATGAATTTGAGTCTGGATTTGGATATGGACGTTGGTGGGAGTGGTGGTGAGAAGCAGCAGCAGCAACATCAGAGGGCGAGGAGCGATTCGGCTCCTACGTGGGTTACGGGTCAGAACGCTGGTACTGGTGCCGGTGGGGGTGTTGGCGTTGGTGGACTTACTGCGAATTGGGGGCGGCCGAGGAGCGGGAGCGGGTATGGGAGGTGATCGACGACGGGGATTCATGCCTGGTGTTTGAATGTGTCGCGCTTTTTTCTTTCTTTGATTTGCTTTTTACTGTTACTTGTCTCCGTCTTCACGCTTGCGTGTTTTTCTTTCTTTGTTTTTTGTTTTGTTTCATCCTTGCTATCTTTCCTTCCTTTCAAAATGGTATTCCTTCAGAACTTATTATCGATATCGCTCGCCCTATCGCCTATCTTCTATATGTATATTTCTATCAGTATCACATCCTCCCCCTCCCTTCTACCCGGCACACATTCTTTGCCACACTTCCTTTGCCACGCTACCGCTACGCCAGCGGCCAGGTGACCTGCATCCCATCCACGCCACGCCACGACGCACGCTCAATCCGTACTAGACCAATCCTGTACACGACCACCCAATCCCAGTACATATTGTATGCGCTTACCCCAGCTGCTTTAGACACGAGTATTTACATACACCAAACGCTCCTTTTTTAGACGTATTGTTGGTGCTGTTGCCCCGCCACGTTCCTTTCTTTCTAGAAATTCAATTGCCCTCTTCCATTTCGAATGTTGGTTGGTTTTTCTGATGGGAACTTGGGAGAGGCTTCGACTCAGATTATCAACGTCATAATGTAATACTTGGCACCTTACTTTGATGGCATGGGCCGGATCGACTGCGGTGGGGGATAATGAAACTATTACATACAATGGATTGTTACTTTCGAAGTGTTTGACTGCGGACTGACTGGCTTCAAGTTCGGATATTAAACTCGGGCTCGAGCTTCATGCACAGCCCGCCAAGACTTCCTGCGATGCGATGACCGGAAATCCGGAACGCGTGAGGTATTCGTGTTTTTTGTACGAGGGATGGCAAGCAGGAATGATGTTTCTACGTATATGAGTCGTGAACTTCATTAATTCTGCATAGCATCACTCGATTGCAATCGCGGCTGCCTTGTGCAAGCAAATTTAATACGAGCTTGGCGGACATTAATCATTGTGTGACGACCAGACACAGCTCCGATGCGACAGGAAACGAGTACAAGTCAAACCAGGCAAAGGAATGACTATATACAACAAAAAGTACAAGTACTAGTAAACGCACGCGTGTGCGTGCAAATATTATATTATAAACGGCCTTCGAGTCCCTTTAGATCTACGATATATGTGTGTGAGGGGGCCGTGCACTCAGGCTAGCTGGCGGTGGTTAATACAAAAATAAACAAAATCCTGGATGCCTGTCCGTGAAAAGTATGTCTGCATCATTATCACCATCACCATCACCTCTCTCACCGATAGATTCCGTTATTATAGTCCGACACCTACGTAATTATTTTCAAGCGTGGCCTTTTTGATGGACCGGGACTACTTGTAGGCTGTGCAGCGGTAGAACCTGGTGCGTCGTGCCCACCTACAGGGGATGGGAGTAATTTAATTCTGATGTCTCGAATGAATTCGAGCGCGGTGCCAGCTGTGGGTCGTGAGGCTGGTGATAACGACCAGCACTCACGGATAAATGGCCATAGTTCACCGACGAGGGGGGAGTGAGATGGACAACGAGGGGTATTTCCTTGTTGGATCTCCTGTATGATGATCACTTCCCGCTTAATTTCGTGCCAGGGTACTTTGCCTGATAAGACCTGCGGAGCAACATATCGTCAACTTTCCTGAACGCTGAGGATGGTTTTGGATACTTACTTGGAGCATGATACTGCCGAGGGAGTAGATATCGCTGAGCGTTGTCGGCTGGACGTCATCTGACAGGAGGAACTCGGGAGCTGTCCATCGTACTGCGCCTGGATACATAGCGGTAGCTGCGAGGTACGTCGAACCGGTCTGCAGGTCTCCAAGCATGCTTGATAGTCCAAAATCGGCGATGCATGTAGTCTTGTCCCCGAGGATAAGAATATTAGACTTTGAAGAATGAGTTTGTGGTGTGGGATAATTAACAGGAGGTGTTACGTACCCCAGTGAGATCTCCGTGGGTCACAGGATTATTAGGATAAGAGTGTACTGTAGAATTATACTTCGGAATGAATCAAAGATGAGTCAAAAGAGACTAACGGTAAGTGAGACCAGAGACAATATCGTCTAACTGAACAAACGATCCCGTTAGAGATAGAGAACAAATGTGAATGATGCGATCATACCAAACTAAGTTGATCAGCAATAGTGACGATCGACCACTTTTTCTCCAGGTAATCGGTCAAAGTTCCATTTACAGCCCAAGGGGCAACAAGGGCCATCGAGATACCAAAGCCAAAAGCATAGCCAATGAATTCCATGACATTTGGGTGATTGAGTCTTCTCCAAATGCCCATTTCTCTCCTCAGTCTCTATAACACATAACTATCAGGCCGTGTGTATGGGCGATCAGTGCCTGACAAACCTTCGAGGTATTTCTGTTAATCTGGAATCTGAAGCCTTTCACAGCAACCTGAAACAGACACCTTATAAGGATATCGTTGTTGTCGATTCACATATGTACGAACCGGGATGCACCTGGTACCATCATCGTAGGTACATTTCCAGACGTTGCCAAAAGCACCCCCAGCTATGGGATCAAGGCCGTAACTCCGAGTAATCCAACTTGTCAAGTCGACAGGAGTCGTCGGACTGTACGCACATTAGCAGGGCTCTGGAGATAGACAAACAAATCGTCACCTTCCAGATCGCGTATTGGGAGATATGGGCGTAGGAAGCATCCCAGAAAGATCACTGGCAAATCCACGCTTACGATTGTTGTTCCCTTCGACAAGAACTGTGCCGTTCGGACCAGGCAGAGATAAATATCCATGCCCCACCTGATTATGACCATGTGCGGTACTCTTCTCAAACTTGGAGGGGCGTATAGGGGAATCAGGCGTGATGGGAAGTTGACCAGACGCACTCTGGAGATACTTCATATCAAGTCGCGGCAACTCGATACGTGAAATGGCCGATTGCGAGTTGTGAACACTGGGAGTCGAAAAGTATGGGCCTGAGTTGGGGGAAACCGGTGTATGCGGAAACGTGGGAGTGAATCTATCTGACATTATAACGCCCCCCTGTGCAAAAGGGCTGGGTAAATCGGATGCGCCCGACGAAGATGTACTGATACTATCTGAAGCATCATGATCGCGAGAGGTTGCTGTCGCGGAGACGAGATGAACGGAAAGGATAGGTACGGATTCTTCGTGCTGGACACTTGATGGAAAGACCATTGAATCGGTAAGCCTTCGAATCCTGTACTTGCAAGTCCAGATATCTGAACGCGATGACTAGTGGATCGGCATACAACCCAAGGCTCAAGCTTCACAGGCTTGAAGTCACAGCCAGACGAATGACCGGGGGGACGGACGGTGAAAGTACTGCGGGGGAGAAAGTCGTCCGCAGGACGTGTCAGCTATTGATTTTGTACGTTGCTCGAGCGCTTGCAGCGCCCAATGCCGAATTTCTCGAGGACAGGTACACGCTGTCATTTAGAAGGGCTATTATCTCCGGCACCTGAAAATCATGAGACCACAGGCATTAGTACGGTCACTTCGATAAACCTGCCCAGTGCCTAGCTATCGTCTTGGATACTCACAGCATTCAAGGGGAAGCAGCAGAGCCGGTGAGATGACCCAACACTGAGCGGTACACTGGTTGATGGATGTTGCAGCATATGTGACACTTCGAATATACAGCCTGTAGCAATAGGTCGTTCGTATACGTAATTTTAAACTGCGTCTGCACTGTGCAGATCTTAAATAGACGACGACGCCCTGACTATGAAACACAGATGAGCGAGAAGTAGATCATGATGAGATTAGTTATACATGCAGCAAGATGAGAGAGGGTGACCGAGCGAGGTAACAAACAGCAACTGGAACTATCGCAACAAGTCGACGACAAAAATAAGCTATCTAAACTGGGAGGAGCCAAGATGTCACTGCTCGCTGCAGTTTTTGCAATAAATAAGACATCCTGATTCCGTGTGAAGAGAGAGAAAACAAGGGGTCAGCGCAAAAAAAACATGTACACGTAAAAATTGAAGAATGTTCGAAAAGCAAGAGGAATGAAGCAAACACATAGCCCGAAAAAATCATAGCTTCCATCCACCGTTTACTTGAGATGATCCACACCCCCTGGATCAAACCATTCACGGAAGTCTTGCTCAAAGTCTGTCCGAAACATGGATGGGTCTAGGTCCTCCAATGCTGACATAGATTGCATGAAGTCTGAAGACATGAAATTAGGTGGTAGATCTGATAAATTGGGTTGTGGTTGGCTCGCGGGATTTGAAGCTGGAGGTACTGAAGGTGTCCCGTTTGGAGCGGGGGACTGCGTGATGCTTGAGTTGATGGTATTCGGAGTCGGGGGTGCAGTGCCGTGTGCGCTCCCCGTAGGATTCGATGAAGGCCCTCCCTGGCCTGGAGCAGCAGGCGCGTTGTGAGGTGACCCTTCTGGCATACCTGAAGGGTTATTGATCATGGGTTTAACATCCTTCTGATCTTTCATGGGACCACCAATAGCTGGTGACGCAGGTGGCGCCATGCCGCCCATAGGTTTGGCTTGAGCCAAGTTCTGTCCGATTCGATTGTTCTGAGAACCAACAAACTGCTGTTGACCTTGCACGGGATGGAAACCCTGCTCAGAGGCACCGGGAGCGGCCGCTGCTAATAGGGTCTTTGTCGTTGCGGTCATACTCTGTCGGTACTGCATGGCCTTCAGAACAGTTGAGGGGTAGCCAAGGGCCGCAGCAAAAATCGACAACTTACTGCATTGGACATCATCATGTTATGACCTGGTCCTGGAACCATGCCCGGGCTCATGGCGTTACCAGGAGCAACCATAGGCAGTCCCATACCAGGATTACCCATGTTCGGTGGAACACCATGTGGCTGGAAGTTATTCATGGGCGCGCCTTGCATTGGCCCTGTACGCATCATGTTGCCATTGGGCATTTGTTGTGGCCCACCTGGCATACCCTGCTGTTGCGGGTGCGGATATCCTGGCCCGGGGCCCATGGATGATGTTTGTTCCATGGGGGGAGGTGTGCGGCGCTGCCGCTTCCTGTCCGGAGGCGAGTTTTCACTATTCGGGAGCGTGCCATGCTGTCAAATTTCGCAAATTAATGCGCTGTAATATTAAGCCAAGAAAAGAAACAGTACTTCTTCTCCGGGTGACGTGCTGTTACGTTTTATGGTGCGCTGTGGGTGTTGTTGCTGTTGCTGGTGTTGCTGTTGCTGTTGCTGGTGTTGTTGTTGCTGTGGAGGCTGCTGCATTGTTGGATGCTGAACAGGTCGGCGTTGCTGTCCGGGCGGAGCCATCCCTTGCAAATTCGATGGAACAGGGCCGAGTTGTGATGCCTTGACACTCCGCTGCCGCACCTCATTGATAATTCGTTGCTGTAATTCAGGTAATTCACGTGAATAAGATTTCCATAATAGCGATGACGACGAAAGTACCTTATCTTGAAAGCTAAGTGAGTGCAACTCCTTATCGCCAAAACCCATTGCTGCTTTAACCACCGTAACGGCTTCGGTAGGTAAACGGCTGAGTTCTTGGTTGAGCATGCCTAGATTTGGATCGTTCGATGGCGTCTGGCGGGCAACCAACGATGGACTGCGTTGCATCATACCTCCTTGACCGGGGGTGCCAGGGCGACTGGGCGACCGTCCCATCGGAAATGGTGGTGTCTGCGTCTGAGGGGCGGAGCCAAGGGAAGGATTTGAAGGGTGCATAGGGCGATTGAGGTTAGTAAGGTGGCCGGGCGGGCCTACCAGCTGATTCATAGACTGTGAATGCTGGGGTCCGGAACCAGGGTTGCCTCCTGTAATATGGGGTGAATGTGACATTGTTGGGGATTGGAATGGAGGCGCAGCGCCATTTGGTCTTGGAGGGCCACCGGGCCTCTGCTGCCCTGGTAGTAACTGCGAGAAACTTCCCGGTTGACCTGGAGGACCGCCCGATGACATCGGGATACCGTTAGTTTGAGGACCGTTCATTGGGAATGCCATGGGGCCTTGGGCGCCATTTTGAATTGGGCCTGGATTACCTGGCAAAGAAGCAGGTCCAACACCGTTAGGCATCTGGCCGTTTGGTGGCATCGATGCTTGAGGTCTTTGCGTACCGTTCATGAAACGATTCATCGCCGGTGGCGCTTGCCGCATTTGGGGGGCGTTGTGCTGTCTAAGGTGCTGTTGCTGCATCTGATGCTGTTTCAGAGGTCACGGTCGGTACAGTGCTAAGAACGTTACAGCCCCACATACATGCGTATAGACCATAGCGTCATCCGTTCCTGTTCCGTTGCTTTTTGCTGTGAAAAGCACCCAAAAAACACTCCACCATCTGGAGTACCGCATATTGGGTTAGTCGAGCGCTTAGGGAAGAAGTCGAGGACGTACTCGAAAAGTAGACCCTGACGTGCGTTGATGGGGGGAGCAGAGTCAGGTGGTATTTCAGCCTCTACCAGCAGCTCGCGAGCTGTTTTACGGAATCCACGCTTATTGCAATAGTCATAAATGTAAATGTTGAACCTGGGTGAGCAGCCAACAAGTTAAGTTGGGGCAAGGAAATGAGATATGTGGCGACAAACATCCTATCCCCTTCCCAAGATGGATCCGACGAGGGGGGAGAGGGTTCACCTGCGGAAGGTTGCGCAGGCATTGATCCGGGAGGGCCAGTGGCCATGAAGAGCTCCGATACAGGTTGACGAGTGAAAGTAGAAACACAAGAAGGGGTTTAAAAGATCAGCAAAAGGGAGTGCACGTATCGCGTTTGACGGGTGGAAAATAGAGTCGATGGCAGAGACTTTAGAGCTGTGTAAGCTGCAAAGATATATAAAGGCAGCTCAAGCTGGACAGACAGCGCACAGGTTTTCTCCGGCCAACGAATGAGGGAAAAAGGAAAGATATTACAGGACGACAACGGCGTCAAGATATATGCCTGATCGTCGTCGACAACGACGGCGACGAAGTTACCTGGCGGAGGAAGAAGGAGCAGGCGAATGGGAAGATTGAATTCGTGCCAAACGAGAGGCACAAGGTCATACTAGATGGGAAATTTCCAATTGTCGCCGACTTTGCCACCAAAAAACTACACGCCGTTTGCCGCATGCACGTCAAGGCTTGGCTACGTATGTATACGTTCTACTTCCTTCCATTAGTCTACAATACGTTAGAGCATATAATACACGCGAGTTCTAGTGTACACAGTACACTTAATGAACCCCAAATCTCCATCAATGTCGACGAACAATCGCAATCTGGAAGTCCCATCCACCAACAATGTACTTCACCTCCAACAACCGTCTGATCTCCCGCCATCCCGCGCTCCCCTCCTTGGCATTCTGAAGATCGTAAATGAAGTCTGCAGGTGAGAGAAGCGATCGCAACAACGATCCAATTAAGAAAGCAATTAACGCTGTGATTAGAACAGTCGACAGTGGGTATGTTGTCGGCATCCGAACAATGTGTGTTGTCATCGTGGTGGTTGTGCTCTCTGTCTCCGTCCTCGACAATCTACCAGGTGGCTTCGGAATGCTTTGAGACGATCGACGAGAGGATGAAACAGACTGTGGCATTGGTGAAACAGCCTCCTTAACAGCTGATGAAGACCAACGAGATAGCGGATTGGGATAAGCGTTTAAGAATCCAAACAATCCGCTATTTGATAATGGCTGCGGCAGAACCTGCGTAACTGTACCGTTCTCGGGGGCATCCTATAACATCGTGGCTCAGGGAAGCCATCACATCCTTAGTAAGAAACTTACCAAGGGCGGCCCGTTTTCGATCACTTCCACCTTTGGCCTGTTCTCCTCCAGTGCTTCCGGATCTTCGTTGATATCGATAGCAGCGACGATAGCGCCATCATCAAGGAGGTCATCCGCACGGGACAGGGGCTCTTTGAGCTCGTCGGGGAACGAGTCTCCATCGTCCGCGGATCTGATAATGTGCGTCAACAACGGCTCGCACATGAACCTGATTTATGACCAACCTTTGCAGCACAGCCATACGAGAGACTCGATCATCCTGAAGCTCATCGCGCCCAAGTGCGGTTAATGACTCCTTCTCACTAGCAATTCCAACAGTCGCGCCGCCGACCTTCACACTCACGCCACCGTCGCTCTTCTTGACACCCAAAGCAGGTGCTATGATAGGCTTAATCTCTACCTGCACCACAAACCCTTTTTCATGCAAATCATTAAACCACTGAGGCTTTGGAGGTGCTGTCCTGA